TACAATATGCGGATGCGACGTACAGACACTCCCCAGCGTGGCACGTACCTTGATCACGGCCGAGTAGTTGAGCACTACATTGACTGGCTCAAACATCAAGACCGGCAGAATGTACTTGAAGGAGAAGGACAGCCCCAGCTTCTCCAGATAGGCCACGTGTGTGTCTCGTGCGCTCAGCAGCGCAATGGTGTCTAGGACGGACTTGAAGTTGTGCATGTGTGTCATGTACCCATCGTACTCGTGGTACTGTAGGGGCGTGGTACAGAACGCGGAGAGAAAGAGTACCGAACTTCAGGGCTTATTTGTGTTCTAGTTCCGAAGGGCTGCTATTCAGCAGAGTTGTCAACTGATTGATGGGCTATATGGGTACCAAATGGCACATAACGTGTCACTTTGGTGTCACAGCCGTTGAGCCGTTGCGGTGTCAAGTGTTCAGCAGAGGCCGAGTGGCACAGTACTGTCCATGTAACAGATAGACATCTCATATCAGCGCCAACTGGCCATGCAGTGCATTAATACCACACACGAAGCGCTGTACTTCTTTCTTTAGGTTAACACACACACATCTACTTTGTCTCACCTAACTTTATCAAGCACCAATACGTACTCATACATCACCGCCTATACAGATTGTCCTAACCCCTGCAAAACTCATGCAACTGCTACGAGGGTAGTATGAGTGCTACTGTCGCATGACTCTTCCTGTTATTGAGTCCTGTTTTGTGTGTACACTGGCACATGAATCATCCTGTTGTGTGTACGTACCAGTACAAACTCCGCAAAGCTCTCGCCCAGATGCACCACCCGTTGCTCTACCTTCGACTCGAACAGAATGGTGAAGGCCGAAGCCGTCTCGTGGACCTGACGGCGAACGAGTGGTTTACACGGAGGTATACAATTAGTTAGCAATTAGTATACAAATAGTTAACAGACAGTTATACAAATAGTAGCAACTAGTTGTTCAAATAGTTAGCAATTAGATATACAAATAGTTAGCAACTAGTTATACAAATAGTTAGCAATTAGTTATACAAATAGTTGGCAATTAGTGATACAAATATATAGCAACTAGTTATACAAATGGTTAGCAGCTAGTTATACAAGCAGTTAGCAATTAGTTATATAGTTAGTTAGCAATTAGTTATACATATAGATAGCAATCAGTCTTACAATTAGCTAGCAATTAGTTATACAAATAGTTCGCAATTAGTTGTTATACAAACAGTTAGACACCGAGAACTGCAGAACCATGATCAGATGATATCGTGTTTTCTTTGGCCCGTTAGAAGTCAGTTGCTGAGTCAAACGTATGAGCATTGGCGAATATGTGCAATGCGGATGATATGCTCAGAGTGGCAAACAAATGGAATAAAAATAAATGCATATAATGGAATACAAATAACCGCATACAATGGAATACAAATAAACACATATAATGGAATACAAATAAACGCATATAATGGAATACAAATAAACGCATATAATGGAATACAGATAAACGCATATAATGGAATACAAATAAACGCATATAATGGAATAAAAATAAACGCATATAATGGAATACAAATAAACACATATAATGGAATACAAGATAAACGCATATAATGGAATACAAATAAACACATATAATGGAATACAAATAAACACATATAATGGAATACAAATAAACGCATATAATGGAATACAAATAAACACATATAATGGAATACAGATAAACGCATATAATGGAATACAAATAAACGCATTTAATGGTGCCTGTACGCTCAGAATGGCAAACAAATGGAATACAAATAAACACATATAATGGTGGCTGATGAGGAAGGCCTTTGACCCTCTATGTAGAAGGGACACGATTACGTTAAATAGCACACAACTATCTATGTACGAGGGACACAGGTACGTGCGACCTATAGCTATAGCCTGCGCCTGAGTGCATAGGCGTACCCTTTGAAACGAATCAAATAGGGCGGAGATCTCTTCCGGGAGAAACGGGCTCGATGGGGCGATGGACGGATCCAGCTTGTTGAAGAACACCTGTGGCAAAATTCAGGACAACACGAGGACATACAGCAGGTTCAGCATTGTCACAGGACAATCCCAATGATTCGAATTGCGATGGTGATATACTGGAGAGCTAAGTGGAAGGTATGCTGACTAGACGAAAATCCCTAAACCCTAACCCCTTGATGCGCATTCACTTCACTAGCGCAATCCCCGGCTGGGCCAGTGCTCAGTTTATACCGCTGTGGTACAGCTGCCTGACACAGTTGTACGGTCTACCTCGTCAGACACAGTACAGTTGTTTAGTCACCACTGTGGTAAACTCAGTAAAACACCCACATAGCCTGAATGACTCAAGTAAAGGTAAGTGGCATCTGATGTGACCTCGACATGAAATCATCAACGCATGGCTGAGGGTATCTGCGTTGTTCAGCCACCACTATGATAAACTCACTAAAACACACACGCACCCTGGATGGCTCTAGTATAGATGGGTGACATATGGTGTGACCTCGACATGAAATCATTAGCGCAGGGCTGAGGGTATCTACGTTGTTCAGTCACCACTGTGATAAACTCACTAAAACACAAACGCACCCTGAATGGTTCTAGTAAATTGTGTGGCATATGACGTGAACTCAACATGAAATCACCAACACATGGCTGAGGGTATATACATCTGGAGTGTAGCAACTCATCTATTCTATACGACATTTGCTTAGCTGAGTCTTCTGCATTGCAAGAATGAACCTGTACTTCGTACATGTGTTCCTACCTGTATCACTATGTCCAAGTCTCGCACGAGCTTCTTCTCCGCCTGCAAGAACTGCTCAGCCGTCTCCACGTATGATATAGCCTTATCCGATACATCCTGCAGTAACCAAAAGCACAGAGAATGAGCACTCGGCACCCCACACACATAAGTGATGTACAGGACACATGAGAACAATACAAGGATATGATCTACACCCCACACGCATAAGTGATCAACAGGACACATGAGAACAATACAAGGATATGATCTACACTCCACACGCATAAGTGATCTACAGGATACATGAGAACAATACAAGGATATGATCTACACCCCACACGTATAAGCGATCTACAGGGCACATGAGAACAATACAAGGATATGATCTACACCCCACACGTATAAGCGATCTACAGGGCACATGAGAACAATACAAGGATATGATCTGCCGCTACGCTGAATAACGGATAGCAGGTGCTTGTTGATGGGCCAAGGCAAAAGGCGTGTGCAGACTATTGCAAACGCGGGTATGATATAACAATATTGGCACAGACTGAAAGCATAGCATATCGAAAGAAAGGGCGCTATTCGCAACTGCATACCACCCGCGTAGCACAGCAATAGACTCCGAACAGGTGCCAGTATAAAGCACCAGCGGACAATCGAGCGCACTATAAGCGAGACAGTCACCGTACGTACACTCAATACATAGCACAACTCAGTGTACTCACAATCAATACATAGCACAACTCAGTGTACACACAATCAATACATAACACAACTCAGTGTACACACAATCAATACATAGCACAACTCAGTGTACACACAATCAATACATAAGAACAACTCAATGTACACACAATCAATACATAGCACAACTCAGTGTACACCAATCAATACATAGGCACAACTCAGTGTACACACAATCAACACAAAACACAACTCAGTGTCCACACAATCAACACACACAAAAACTCAGTGTACACACAATCAATGCTCCACATACCTTATCCTTGGGAGAAGCCTTCCCCCTGACCTTTGACAGCAGTGAGAACCCGTCGCTGGCTATCTGCACATCCCGTTCCGTCAGCGTGTCTGAACTGTGGGCCTGATTTGCATGCAACGGACAATAAGGGACAGCATGAGACAAGTCTATATCTGTAGAAACCAGATACTACCATGCCGACAAGTAGGTAGGTACCCTTTGGCCGGTGGTCTCAAGGTCAACCTGTACATTGAATACAAATACACCAACTCGTGCACAGTCCCATCAGGATCTGGTCTCCGTTCTTCCCTGACGAGGAGCAAGGCAAACACAACTAACGTACCACATCCGCCGCCATGCCCATAGTCGTCGCCAGCACATGCTGCAGAATCAGCAACAACGCATTCACAGCCAGTTGGTCCAGCGTTTCCCCAAACACCACGCACAGACGGTGCCAGATCTGCACTGTGGGGAACACGTGCACAGGCATTCCGTTGGCGTCGGGCAGAGACTTCTTGCGGTGGCTCTCACCTTTGCGTTTACCGTTGTGGCCTTTGGGTTTCTGAGTGCAGGCGATGCGGAGGTAAGAGATGCGATTGGCGTTAAAGATGCGGAGGTAGCAGTTGGTCATGGGGAAGGGATGGTATAACAGGCTGGACGGGTGACTGTTGGTAAGCAGTAACCGATACATTATATATACACACACAATATATCTTATATACACACACGATACATCATATATACACACACGATACCTCATATATACACACACGATACATCCTATATACAATATATGCACACACTGCCAGAACGAATAAGAAATCCGAATGGAGCTCGTTAGGGTGCACACTGCTGTCCAGGATTCCATTGCGCTGCAACCGTATTGTAGTTACCTTCAATACTTCTCCAATCTCGTCGAAGGATCGATCGCCAACCAATTCTTTGACACTTTCAGTAAAGGCGTCGTACGATGAAAGGTCACAGGTCGACAACAAGTTGAAGAAACACTCTTTGGCCAAGTGGTTTAGGCGAATGATGGAGGACGGGTCCAGTTGCGCCGTCACGGCCTGTAATGCATTCATGGGATAGCAATGAATAGTCGTGTCTAGGTTGTAAACTCGGAACGTGCCGAGCAACGATGTTCATTTACCGTTGTATATACATACACACAAACGTACACGCACAAAAACACACACACACACACATACACACACACACATACACAGGCCCGCACACACACACATACATACACACACACACACAGATATATATGTATATAAATATGTAGACATACATATATGCATATACATGCATACAAATACATACATACATATATATGTATATTTATATAT